GAGAGAGAGAGAGAGAGAGAGAGAGAGAGAGAGAGAGAGAGAGAGAGAGAGAGAGAGAGAGAGACGAGAGAGAGAGAGAGAGAGAGAGAGAGAGAGAGAGAGAGTGTGTGTGTGTGCATACCCTGTTGAGGTTGAGGAGGAGCTGTGCGCGCGTCTCCTCAATACTGCGCCGGTCAACAATCTTCTCCTCGTAGTCGTTCAGGTATGTCAGCGCACGGTCGTGTTCGTTGTTCGCCATCATCAGCATCACGACGTACATGTGCATCTCCGATGTTTCGTACGCGTTCGTGTTGGCGTCGTCCTGCAGCCCAAGATATTGCGTCATGGTCTCAATGGCGCCCGAAATCTCGCCCGTCATGTGCTGTGCAACGCCGTACCTGCACGTGGCGAGACGTGAGTGCATGTGTGAGGACATGTGCATGTATGTATGTGTGTATGCGTGTGCGTGTGCGTGTGAGGTAGCGTGAGGGCGTGTGTAGTGTTGAGCATTTTCGTGCGCGGACGTGGTTGTCTTGTGTGCAGTGCATGGCTCCAGCGGCCGTACCCGAGCCAGGAGGCGCGGACGCCGCCGCGGAGCTCAAGGAACTTGCGACGCGTGTCCTGTATGATATGGTGCAGATGTTAGCGCCACAGGCAAGCAGCCAGCAGCATCGCGTTTGTGAGGGAAGGGAACGGTGGCAGTGGCCATCCAGTGTTGAAGAGGACAAGGGGGGAAACTACGTGAACACGTTCACATACAAGCAAGGCGCAGGGGTGCATGTGTGTGTGTGAAGGGGGGGGGGCGAAAAGCAGAGAGTGAAAGCGGTGCAGAATGCCCACCCGGAAGCCTTCATAATCGCGGACTTGCACTTGGAGGTGGGACAGGTCACGCAAGATGGTCTGGTTCTCCTGTGGGTGGTGAGGGCATGGACGCATGTGAGAGTGAAGCAGCGGCAAAGCAAACAGGGAACGAGGGAACGAGGGAAGGAAGGAAGGAAGGAGGGAAGGAAGGAAGGAAGGAGGGAAGGAGGGAAGGAGGGAAGGAAGGAGGGAAGGTGCAGACAGACAGACAAACACACAGACACAGACACACACACACACACACACACACACACAGACACACACACCGCCTCGATTTGTGCTGCTCTGAGGAAGCTGCGGAGGGCCTGGTCGTAGTCGCACTTCTGACGGTACAGAATACCGCGGACGTGCCAGCACATACCGGAGCCAAGGTCAGCCTTCACGGCTTCGTGGCACAGCTCCATGGCCTCGTCGTGCTTATCCATGGCGTTGGTGATAAGCGCCTGCATGGCCAAGGTCTCTGCAAAGGCAAGCAAGGCCCAGCGCAAACGAGGCCGAGAATGTCTGGTGAGCAGGGACGAGAGCAAACAGTGGCAGCCGCTGCAAGATGGCCGGGAGTGGCCGGTGGGGAAGGGGAAGCACTTACCGCCATGCTTTGGCTTCCTCTCGAGGATGCTCTTGGCGCACTTGAGCCCTGCTTTGTACTGCTTGGATTCATAGCTCCGCTGCAACGGCGCGCACGTGTTTCGTTGTGTCAGTGAGCGGTGAATGATGAAAGTAGAACGGACAGTTGGCAGCAACCAGTTCAGCACAGACAGTGTGCCTTGCAATGTACAAGGCACAGCAACAGCAACAACAGGCAGCGGGGAACAGCCATGCGCGTCAAACTCTCAGCTTTCAGTGACACCACATGCATGGTGTGGCGCCGTGTTGCAAGCTCTGGCCCCAGTAACCCTCCCACAACTGTCCCACGTACCAGCATCTTCCGGAACAGGGAGGCCTCCTTGGACCCCTCAGGCAAGGTGCGGCTCATGGCTGTATGTGGTGGCGACTGTCAGTGCGCAAAACGAAGCAGCGTGGGGTTGGTTGTTGGTGGTTGGTTGCTGTGCGAGAAAGGGACACAACAGCAGCAGTCAGAACAGCATGCGGCCACGGCGGATGTGGAGGATTTATCAAGATATTCACCAAATTTCAGTGGCTGTGGATGATGGGCAGTGCTGGCAGTGAGGGCGGTGGTGAGGGCGGTGGTGATGGTGGCGGGAGTGAGGGACGTGCTGTTGCAAGCACCACGCCCGCTGCGCCGAGCGAGCCAGGGATGGAAGGAGCGAGGACGCAGAGCATAGTGAGAAGAGGAAGTGGTGTTAGAAGAGAAGGAGTACAGCAACAACAAGAAGGGGAACAGCAAGACGAGGAAGATCAGCAACAACAAGAAGGGGAACAGCAAGACGAGGAAGATCAGCAACAACAGCAACAACAACAACAACGACAGCAAGGAAGACGGGCACATGTAAAGCGGGTCAAGTGTCCAGTGTGTGGCAAAGTGTGCAAGAAGCTGTCTGCATTGAAAGACCATATGACCACGCACTCTGGTGAGAAGCCACATGTGTGTCGCATCTGCAAGGCGCGCTTTTCAACCTCTTCCAACTGTCGTCGGCACGAGCGCAGCCACCTCGCGTCGCGGATGCAGTGCGACATCTGCTACTGCATGTTCACGGACATTGCCAAGTTTCGCGGCCACATGCGCAGGCACGAAGTGACGCGCGGCTACAATTGTGAGGAGTGTGGTGAGGTGTTTCGGGAGGTGCTGCGCCTGCGAAAGCATGCCCGCATCAAGCACAGCGACAGCGAGCATGTGTGCTCGGGATGCGGTCGCTGGTACAGGTTTGTGGGCTCCGTGGCTCTGCACCAGCAATCATGCGACGCGTTTTTGGCGAAAGCGCCTGCAGCCCACACCCACAGGCAGCACAACCATCCCCGTGGCCCTTGCGGTCCGCGCCATTTTGGACAGTTTAACTGACTCCTCCACCGTGCCATGCATGCATGCTGTCGTCGTCGCTGTTGCTTGTGTACCTGTCTTGCATTGTTGGACTCGGCACGTTTTGCGTCCACCATTCGTTGCATATGTAGTCTTTATTTTCCCTGTATTGATGCATCATTTGACTGTCCTTTTCGATGCAGTGCATCTTGCGTGCATGCAGACAGGTGCGCCTGTGTTTCATGCGGGCGTGCTTGTGATGGATGCAGGAATTTGACTGTCCCCAGCATGTGTGACAGACGTGCTGCTTGGTTTGACGCGTGGTTTTAACTGTTGTAATGATGGAAGACGTAACTGACGAATGATTGTGTAATGTAAACTGAAGCACTCATAGTCTGCCGAACAAGACGTAATGTAACCCCAACGAGAAACACCTTGCGTTGGGTACGGTGATGGTGATGATGGTGGTGATGATGGTGGTAAAGGGGGGGGGGAGAAAGGAAAGGAGACAAGGCACGAAAGAGGGAATGTGGTTTGATGGTGTCGCTGATGCGTTTGGCGAGAGGGTGGCATGAATTGTAAGTTGTGCTTGTGAGGAGCGAGAAATGGAGCAGAGGAAAAAAGGGGAGGGGAAGGGTGTGAACGACAAACACACACACTCATAACAAGACGCCAGCCAGCTGTCGCCTCGTGCGTGGTTGCGTCCGTCCCCTTAGTTGCTGCTGCTGGGTGGCGGTGGTCATGGTGGTGGTGGTGGTGGCAGGATGCGTGGCTAGGCGGTAAAGCCCTTGCTCTGCGCTACAATGCGCAGCTGTGCGATGCAGTTCACCACCCGCCGCATGTTGTCCTCCTCAAACAGATCCTTCGTGATGAACCTGCATTGGCGCGCGCGCGTGTGTGCGGTGTGTGCGGTGTGCGTGTGTGTGTGTGTGTGCGTGTGCGTGTGGTGTGTGTGTGTGTGTGTGTGTGTGTGTGTGTGTGTGTGTGTGTGTGTGCGTGCGTGCGTGTGTGTGTGTATGTGTGTGCGTGCGTGGGACCAGCAACAGCTTCCACATGCACCATCACCATCACCACCATGACTACCACCATCACCATCACCATGACTACCACCAGCGTCATGACGACGAAGACAAGCGCTGTGTGCGCACCTGTCGCTGGAGGGCACGCCAAAGTGCGTGACGGCATCGAGGAAGCGGCCAATGTTCTCCATCTGCTTGAACGCGCGCGTCGTCCCAGCATTGTACCTGACGTGCAACCAATGGTGGTGGTGATGGTGGTGAGCACTCGTTGTGGTTGGAACGGGGAAACGGAAACAGAGGAACAGGAAGGGCACGGCTTCCACTCTTCTCATCAACGCCATCACAACAACAAAGTGTTCAAACAAGAGCAAGCGAGAGCATCAAGAGAATACAAAGGCAACAGGACATGTACTGCTGCTGCGTACTTTGGGATGCTGCCTGGGCTGATCTTGTTCATGAGGCGGCATAGCACCTCTCCGCTCTTCAGCCACGAGTGCATTGTCTCCTCCGCACACTTCTCGCCCAGCGCCCGCTCAATCCTTTGCAGAGGCGAGGGGTTGGTGGTGTTGATGTGGTTGTTTTGTGGAGTGAGTTGAGTGAGTGGTTGAGAACATGGGTGGTGTCTTGCACCATGAAGGAATGTTTTTTGCGTCCTTGAAGGTCAGCGCCACAATAACCCCCGCCCCCTTCCTTTTGGTTTTCTTACCAGTCGGCCACCTCGGCCTGTCGCTCCTCAGCGGTCAGTCCGCGCGTCGCTTTCGGCTTTGCGCTGGTTGCTGTACTCGTCGCCGTTTCTGGCGGCGGTGTTGGCGGTGTTGTGGTCTGGGCATGCGCACGCGTGCCGTCGAACGGGAGGTGTGATGGTGATGGAGCAGCAGCGACATTCGCCAATGACAGCCAATCAGTGATGCAGGCACACAGCGTAAGTTATCAGCTCACATAACGCGCGCGCACACACACATACACGCAGACGGACGGACGGACAGAAAGACACAGACACAGACACAGGCAGACACATACACACACACACAGAGAGACAGACAGACACATACACCAAGACACCAGGTGCTGGTGCTGACCTCAATGTCGCCATCAGCGGTGGCGTACACGACGGGATCGTCCTCATCTTCAACGTCGTCATCATCATCACCATCACCTTCGTCGTGTGTGCTGGTGGCGGCGGTGGACTGCTGGGCTGGTTTTGATCGCGTGGAGTTCTGTGCCGTCGCCAGCACATATGCGGCCTCGTCCACATCGTCGTCATCATCATCACTGTCACGCGGACACACGCACACATTGGTGAGAATGATGATGATGATGATGATGATGATGATGATGATGATGATGATGCATGTGTGTGTGCGTGTGCGTGCGAGTGTGTGTGCGTGTGCAAGTGTGTGTGTGTGTGTGTGTGTGTGTGTGTGAGAGAGAGAGAGAGAGAGAGAGAGAGTGTGTGTGTGTGTGTGTGTGTGTGTGTGTGTGCACGTACGTTGGGAGGTCTTCACCGCAGAGGCCGTAAGCGGAGAGGTCGACGGAGGCGAGACCGTATGGGTCGTACTCGTCTTCCTCTGTGCACATGGGATTGAAGGCAGTTGGGGTCACGATGAGACATGTAGGCACAGTGTGGGCACTCTGGACACGCAATTCCCCGGCGTTGAAGCAACACACAAATACACAGACACACACACACACACACAAATACACAGACACAGACACACACACACAAATACACAGACACAGACACACACACACACACAGACACAGACACACACACACACAGACAGACAGACAGACAGACACACACACACACACCACAAGACAACACACACACCAAGGCAACACCACGGGCGCACCTTCGGCGCTGTCCTCGGCGTCGTATGTGTGCAATGCGTCCTGCGGGATGCTGTATGTCGACGCCATCACCTCCTTCTGCTCGTCGTCGTCAGACCGAACAATCGGCGCTTTTGGCACGCGTCCGCACATCGCCTGTCACCAAGAGGAGGGAGGGGGCGTGGCAGGTGTGTCAAGTGCACATGTGTGTGTGCGTGTGTGCGTGTGTGTGTGTGTGTGTGTGTGTGTGTATGTTTGTTCGATGAGGGCAGCTGCACTTGGAAGGTATGATTGCAGCAGCAGCCAGCAGGCAAAGCAGCACCCGTCGCGAGCACACTACACACCAGGAGGGCGTTGTAGAGATCGGGGAAGGAGGACCGCTCCTCCGGCTCCTCCATCCAGCACTTGCGCATCAGATCGTACCTGGCACACACGCAGGTGACGTAACGTGTATGAATTAGCGCATGGAAAAGGAAGAGCAAGATTAGATTGGGCATAACCGCAGCGTTTTCTCTCTCTGTGCGCGTGTGCGTGTGCGTGTGTGTGTGTGTGTGTGTGTGTGC